GCAATATAGGGGAGAGAAGTGTGTTTTGCATTTTGGAGAAAGCAGAGGCGAAATGGTGGAACAAACTTCTGTCTGGAGATGGAAAGACTCCACATTATGTGAAAGTTGATTGGGACAAATGGGCTGATGAAGATGATGATGCAGGTATGGTGATTGTCACCCACCATTTCTATATTTAATCATGTTATATGTATATTGTATTCACAAGTTTAATTAAATATGTTTTTTAGGTCCTGCTGCTGACCTTGACATGGGAGGAATGGATTTCTCAGTAAGAAAATAGCTTCTGAAAATGTTAGTATTATTGAAGTTTCTTTCTTTTATATCACTAATGACTTATCCTCATACAGAAATTCGGTGACATGGGAGGCATGGGAGGTATGCCTGGCATGGGTATGGGGGGCATGGGGATGCCCGGAATGGGCGGCATGGGGATGCCTGGTATGGGTGGCATGGGCATGCCTGACATGGGTGATTTCTCTATGGGTGATGATCTTGAAGACAGTGATGATGAAGGTAACCTAACCTACCTGTTGTCAACATACTTTTTTTTTTCTTCTTCTTCTCATCAAGTGATGTATGGATTTACCCAACTGTCACTGCTGTGTAGGTCAAGAAGCTGAAACAAAGACGGGTGCAACCAGCAAGGAAGCAGGAGAGGAGAAGACAGAAGCTGCTGCAACAAGTTCATAGATACAGTTGATGCTCTTTGGAGTTGTTGTTGAATTTGGATGATTTAGGAAAAAGACCATATATGGTTATGGTGTGTGCTCCAAAGACTTTGGATGTTGACTAGAAACATGAATATGGTTTTCTGCTTCTTCTTAGTTGTTAGGAAGGTGGAAACCATACTACTATCCCTTTACTATTGAACTTTTGAGTGTTGTAATTTTGTAGCGGTTTCATATCATACTCTTTCTTCTTCTTATATCTAATTGTTTCTCCTTCTGTTGCTATGTTAAGTTTCACACCCTTTTTTAATTGACCTCATTTACTGAATCAGTTTGCAACAAAGATTCACATGCCCAAACCCCAATTAGTTGTCCATGTCTTTTTAGAAACTCGTTTGGCAGATGATACATGTTTAGCAATGGGACAAAACAGGCTATAAACGTTTAATGTATTGAATCAAATTAAAATAACAATATCATTGTGGCAAAACTTTAAAATGTTTTATGTGCTTCATCATTCACTAAAAATGTAAATATTATTATTGTATGAACTTGCTGAGATTGCCATCTTTAATTAAATTGTCACGACAACATAATAGATTTTAGTTATGTATTGTCATAACAAATTTTACTAACATGATCCATTAACTTTCATGTGTATTTTAAGTACATTTCAAATGTTCCTTGTTATTATTTGCATTTAAAGTTTGGTTCTTTGATAATCAGTAATGGCAAATCTACCACTTTGTTTAGTTATGGAAATCTGATATTTGTTTTCTGAAATTTTATGAGTATATTTTCACTTTTTGGTAGAAATTTTGAAAACGCACTTTGATGTTTTTTTTTATTTTATTTATTTTTTTATTTTTATTTTTTATTATCCGTTATCATTTTTCCACTTTAAGTTATTTCAAATAATACACACATCCCAACCACACTACCCTAACTCTATCCACCCTACACCTACCCCAACGTACCGATCCCCACCCTCACCCACCCTACACTACTGACACCCATACCCACAACACCTACCCTTCCACCCCACCTACATACATAACCACCCACCACACCCAACCAACCCATAACCCTTCAATCCCTACCACACCCTATTTTAGGGGTGAGGTATAATGGGTGTGGGTGTGTGTAGGTAGAGATGGGTGAGTGAATGTAGTGTTGGGTAGGTTGGTGGGGCACGATAGGATTGGTGGTTGGGTGGGTAGGATGGATAGATGGTGTGGGAATGAGTGATAAGAGTGAGGTCGGATAAGATAGGTAGCGAGTAAATGGTGAAGGTTTGGTGGGGTAGGGTATGGTTGGTAGGTGGGTGAAAATAAGGGTGTGGTATGATAGGATATGATGGGTTAAGGGTTGAGGGATAAGGTGGGATGATGGTTTGGATAGGATGGGGTGTGGGTATGGGGTGGGTGTGAGATGGGTGGGAGTGAGGTGAGGGTGGGTGGGTGGAGATTAGTATATGTGTGGTTTAAGAAAAAATTGGAGTTGGAAAATTATGGTAAACAATGTTTATTCGTTTTTCAAAATTTTCCAAGTTATTTATAACTTTGAAAAATGAAATATTTTCATTTTCTAGGAAAAATTTTGAAAAAAAAAATGTTAACTACATAAGTTTTTAGAATTTTCATTTTTCGTAGATTTTTTTTTCGGAATAAACCTTATTTTTTCATGACTAAAGCGTGGCTAAGTATTGGTATATACATCTCAAATATTCGGTCGATATACATTTAAATGAGTCAAAAATATGTGGTTAGTCCATGTGGTTCGCCAAAAGAGACATGGTGAGGACAACTATGATAGCCCATACATACTTGGTCTATATGGTTTCATTTCTTGTGTGGTTAGTCATTGTGGTTTCATTTCTTTCAAAATTGGTGTAAAAGTACTATTATACCCTTTGATTTAGTATCTTGTATGGTTAGTCAATGTGTGTTGATTTCCAGGTTTGTGGGTGTGTGTGTGTTAATTTTCAGATCTGTAGGTCTGTGTGTCGATTTTCATGTGTGTGTGTCCATTTCATGAACTACATTTGTGTATGTGTGTGTCGATTTCTAGATGTGGTGATGGTGACAGTGACGATAGATCTTGGTGACAAAGAGTGGTGTGTGTGTGTCTTCATGGAGATGTTCATGAAGATATTCTAGAGTGTGTGTGTGTGTCTGTGTTCATGAAGAACAAACCAATATGGGTGGTAAAACCTTGGTGAGGGAGAGAGAAAGAGAGAGAGAGAGAGCGAGAGAGGTTTCTTTTGATTTTTTATTTTTTTAATCGATAAATAAATAAAAAAATATTTAAAAAATGTAAAAAGAATAAAAAAAAATGGGTAGAAAATTCATCATATATGCAATAATGACCAATCACACAATAAATGAAAGCATAAGGATTAAACATATAGCGGTTATAGTTGTCCTCATCATGCATATTTTGGTGAACCACAAGACCAATCACATAATTTTTTTTGAATGATTATATAAGAGGTTTGGTTCCTTGATCAACATGTATGTTTTGACACAACACTAAACTATACATACAAATATATTAGTTAAAAATCAATATAACACAACGATAATCCTTGCACACTGATGATTATGTACTTTACACATGATTGAATTTTGTTGTATTTTTTTGGCATTTAAGTAGTTCATTTTGCAAATGGTTTGATATTGTTGTTTAAAACCAAAATATTGATGGATGACTTCAAAATTTAGATCACTTTAAGAAAGTGATGTAAGCGAATCACTTTTTGAAAGTGTATGGTGACGAGTTATGTACACAAAGAATATTTCTATATATTGACATTATTATCCATATAAGAAACAAATGTAGGGAAATGTACATAACATTTTCAAAATTGTTGCAATATTGGTTTCCTTTCCAGTCAACAATTCATTCAAAACAATAACAATAACACCACATTTAAGGAGTATGTATTGTTATGAATTTGTTCATCCTATAGTGATTATTTGTAAAAAGATATTAATTACTTATAGAAGATGCTGTTATTTGACAATCTTTAAATAAAAATACACTCACATAGATTGTTTTATTGTCTCCATCCGACCATCACAAAAAATATAACTAGTTATTCTATGCATGTTGTTTAGCTGCTATGTTTAACTCTGAATAATATGCGTTATAAATAAAATGTTAGAAAAATGTTCAAAGTGGTTTCGTGGTGTAGTTGGTTATCACGTCAGTCTAACACACTGAAGGTCTCCGGTTCGAACCCGGGCGAAGCCATGTTTTTTTTTTGTTACAACTTCTAAGCACCTGTTCTACTCATCTAGTCTAGAGTAATATAATCTAAAGCATATTGTTATTTTATGAAAAATGAGGAAGGCATAATACCTAAAATAATGGGACACTAAAGACTACAAGTATTGTTTTTTTTTTCTCCATACAAGAAAACGACATTGTCAAACTTTATCCTAATTAAAAAAATTCACTCGCACATAAAATAAAAATGAAGTCACTTGAAGGAATCATAGACTACATAATATAAATCGATCTTTAAGTATTATCGTATATCTAATTATTAGTAATTATCTTTGTACTTTCCTCTAGTTGCATTATAGATAGGGCTGATGATGTGTATATATATATATATATATATATATATATATATATATATATATATATATATATATATATATATATATATATATATATATATATATATATATATATATTAAAGCAAACAGGTGGTTAACGAGCTTATTGCCCTTGAACTAGTCACGACCCTATTAAAAAAATCAACCCGATGAAGATGGCATGGAGGTTTGTGACTGAATGAGAATGTGGATCAATACTTGAGGATCTGTGTCGGTATTTTTGACTTTTTGAGAGTTTCGGTAGGATTCTTCACTAATCACTAGGGGGGGTATTAGAGTTTTTTTGACTGAAGGTCTCAAGAATAGCAAGTTTCAGAAGCATCCTGATCATGGTTGATCCTGAGAAGGAAAGGCGTTATGAAGACTTGAAAACAACCATTCTTGGTGATGAAGAAGAGGAAGCAAATTCTCTTTGATGACTTCTAAGACAGACTCACCATTTGTCCTCCTTTTTTATTCGATTGCATTAACAGGGGACTATCAACATATGCATATCTTAGTAGACAGTAGTAGTTATCTTTGTATTTTTCATACTTTCCTTATAGATAGGGATCTCATGTGTGTATATATTAAAGCCAATGGGAGAAGAGAATATTAATAAAGGCAAGGAAGATTATTGAATCTTCACATTAAGCAATAACAGAATCACCGTCTATCAATTTTAATGAATTCATTTGCATTTTGCATACCAAACATAAAATGTGTACAATTTAAGTAATTCTAATCGTTGTAATCACAAAAAAGAAATTTAGAATATCACAAAAGATTTATTCCTAGCTAGCAAGAAGGAAGGAAGATGATGATGATGATGATGGAGCTTGGCTTCAATTTGATGACTGGTTTTTAATAGTTATCGTCCATAGAAGATCAGAATCAGATCGCACGCTTACAATCTCTCCTTTAACAATGTTTGATGTGCTCACTAACCCCCCAAATCTCATTTCCGTGTTATCTGTAGTGTGTAAATAATATAATAATACCCCATCAATTAATTCATCTATTATGATTTTCACAACTATTTTTCACATAATCAAACAGTTAGTAGATTTGTTAAGTTAGGGATGTCTGTGTCTTACCAAGATTCCATTGAAGCCCTGTGGTTGTAGAACTTCCCGAAGGGGCGCCAATGGGAATAAGACCACAATGTGGGCCCTCCACGGAAGAGTGGATATGAATCTGGTGATGCCGGTTGCTTGGAAGAAGTTGAATAAGACAGTCATCAGACAAGAGAACAATACGTGTTGTTGAGAAACGGCACAAACTGTTAATGTTTCCCATTTCATGGTCAAACCTTCCACCAAGTGCACCAGCAACAAGTATGCACAGCTGTAACAACATAAAATCTATTACAAATTTGCCTTTTTCCAACTACATCTACATAGAAACATTAGTTCTACTTACATTTGACTTATCATCATCAGACACAATATCAAGTACATATGCAATGCATTTATGTAAATCCGTGGTGTCCTGATCATCAGAATTATCGACAATCATTGTGCCCTGCATTTTGAGGTATGTAAGATTCCTAGAAAATTGTTTGCATTAAGATTATAGACAGCTTACCAGATTTTTGTAGAAATTTAAAACATCTGGTCGGATAGAATCCATGTCTCCTTTAATTACATCCGGCTTGTACCTAAAAGTAGATGCAGATCCAGATTATTACAAATTGAACAGTTTCATGGTGGACCTATAAATCACACACTTTCAAAACAATAATTCACAAGTTAAAAGCTCATTTTCTTTCTTTAGGATGACCCCCCTCTTTCTTCATAGGACTACATAGATGATGACTTTAATGGTCCCAAAACTGACTGTTTACTTTCTATAGGAAAAGATATGCAAGTTAACACATTTTCTTTCTTTATGAAGACCCTCTGGCTCTTTCTTCATAAAATTAAAGAGGTACTGACTTTAATGGTGTGCCAAAAGTGATAGTGGGACATACGATTAGACGATTAGAACTGTGAAGCCCACTTCCACTTTTCCTTTAGTAAAAAGCAAATCCAAGTCTCAGAAGCATAAAACCAAACAGCTTACAGGCAATCAGTAATTACACAACAACTTGGGGGAAGAAACATGTAAAACCTTTCTTGGACGTTGTGTTCATCAGAGCATAGTTCGGGCATGTTATCGAATAAACGGTTAGCTCCACCATCAGCACAAAGACGAATTTTTGCTGCTCTACAACAACAACAGCAACAATCATAAAAACCCTATAATCACTATGACCATTCGATTGAACAGGAACGAGAATAGACTTACCGTGTTGCCAGAGTAAGGGTGAAAACCGGGGGAGACGTTGGTTAAGGATGATAAGTGCGTACGTGGTCGGAGAAGAGCCGTTTACGGCGTCGGTTATCGTCGGTGGCAATAAGAAGCTTGAAGAATGAGTCATGACTGCCATCGGATGAAGAAAAACGCAATCTCACAGAATTACAGAGGAAAGATAAGGTGGGAATCAAGAAAAATGATCACTTCTGACGATACATGTCGGCGCGGTGATTGTTTATTGAAAGAAACTTGGAGCTTCTTGGTCATTTATTCTGATTTCAATTTTCTGGGGTGGCTGGTAGTTGAAATCTTTGATGTACAGCGAACATGGAAATTGAATACTAATTGGGGAATTGGGATCCACAATTTTCAATCACGAAAAGTGGAGACTATTATATTAACAAATTTTCAATCTTTTATATTTTCTAAGCTATTCGTTTTCTCTTAATATATTAAAAATCATAATGACCTTTGCAAAGTAACCAAATTTAGTTTTTATATATATTTAGTTATTAAAATTATTTTTATCCACTTGAAAGTTTTTTTACAACCTGTTACATTCTCATTCAATTTAACAAATATCATTTTGTGGTTATTTTGAATTTTTTTTTCACATGTCATTTTATGAATTTTTCTATTTTATTAAATTCTACATAATATTTTATTGTAATAATAATTGCAATAAATGTAACAATAAATGGATATTAGTTTCATTAATAAACTTGTTTTTTAATTTCAAAATTCTCATAAATTAAAGGTCATTAGTTTCTTTTTCTTATTTAAATTATTTGTTTAAATTTAAAAGATAAAAAACATTTACATTATAATAATCCATTATTTTTCTTATTTTCTTATAAATTCAAAGTTCTCAAATATTTTGACATTTATATTTAACTTTTTTTTATAAATTAACTCAGGTAATACATGAGCCTCACAACTAGGGATGAGCAAAAGAACCGACCCGGCTGGAACCAGCCCGAACCGGACCCGGCCCGGGAACCGAAGTCGGCCGAAATTAAGAACCGAATCGGACCGCTGGTTCTACCGGTTCCCGGTTCCTACCGGTTCTTGCCGTGTCTTCAATGTTGGAATTAGTCATCGAGAAATAGCAACATACAGTTTTGGTTTTTGCCGGTTCTACCGGTTCCCGGTTCCAAAAATCCACAAGAATATCGCCCTGGTCCCGGCCCGACCGGTTCCATCGGGTTCCGGTTCCGATACCGGTTCCGGCCGGTTCCCCGGTCCAAATGTTCATCCCTACTCACAACTAGTACTCAATATACTATTGAATTTATTGAAAGTATTCAAAAAAATATCGATATCAACAGGTGCGATGGATTTTGCCAGTTTCCGGCAAAATATAAGTTTTCCATCCATTTTTGAAATTTTCGATCATTACCTCCGGAAAAACATGATTTTCCAAAGAAACTATGGTTTTTTCAGATTTCTTTATTTTCCCTTACGTTTTTATATATATATATATATATATATATATATATATATATAGGAAAAAGACGCAACGACCCTATTATGTATTTTGACTTTACCCTTTCAGCCCCTTAAGTATTTTAATGCCTTTTAAGGGAAAAAAGTTGTTAGTGACCTGCTTATTTGGTCCTTCTGACCTACCATTACCAGTTTCATGTACAAGTGACTTTTAATTAATTAAATAACATGAATTAAATCCACCTCAGTCTTCACTTTTTGTCCATGTCTCCAGCCCCTCTCTCACATACGCGCGCACACACACACACATACACATACACACATACACACTGGTCTAGGGATGAAAGTGGGTCCAAACCCGGACCGGATGGACCCGGACCCGGAAAACCTGGAACCGGTTAACGAGATTTTTTAGAACCGGAAACCGGACCGGTATATAGGAACCGGTTCCGGTTCGGTTCCGAGTACGGTACCGGGTAAAGTGGGTCTAGAACCGGAAAACCCGGAAACATCAAAGTGGGTAGGTTGGAACCGGATAAAGTGGGTTTAGAACCGGAAAAACCGGAATTTTTTGGTAATTACTTACTACGTAATGGGTTGAACTTTGAAAATTTTTCATATTGATATCCCGACTTTGGGGGACTGTAACTCATTGAATATGAAACCAAAATTAACAAAATTATAGTCTAAAATCATGTACAAACTCTAAAATACACTCTGAAAAAAACCACATGTCAATCCGACTTTAAACCAATGAGATATGCATGTGTTAACATTTTCACAGAATACAAAGTACAAAAACAAATAGCTGAAAAGTTAAAAATTTTCAGTTTTGATATCCCGACTTCGGAGGACTGTAAATCATTGAATATTAAACTAAAAATGACAAAATTATAGTCTAAACTCATGTACAAAATGTAAACTACAAGTTGGAAAAAACCACATGTCAATCCGACTTCAAACGAATTCGATATGCATGTTTTAAAACTTTCACCGAATACAAAAAAACTGAAAAACTAAAAACTTTCAGCTTTGATATCTCGACTTTGGGGGACTGTAAGTCAATGAATATAAAACTAAAAATGGCAAATTTATAATCTAAAATCATATACAAACTTTAAACTACATGTTGGAAAAAACCTAATGTCAATCGGAGTTGAAACGAATGAGATATGCATCTTTTAAGCGTTTCACAAAAACCGGTTCCGGCCCTAAAAGTGGTTCCGGTTCCTAACACCGGTTCCGGTTTTTAGACCCGGTTTACCCGGACCCGATGGACCCAAACCCGGATTACCCGTAACCCGGATAAAGACAATTTTTAAACCCGGAACCGGAAACGGTTCTATATATTCCGGTTCTAACGGTTCCGGTTCCGGTTCCGGTTCCGGTCCGATTCCGGTTCTGGTCCGGTTTTCCGGTTCTAAATCTCATCCCTACACTGGTCAATCAACACCTCCTAGTTAGCCTTCATTCTCAAGCGACATCTACAAATGAAAAACTGATGGAAAATGAATCCATTCTAGTTGATTTCTAAAGCCAATGTCTTTCAGGTTCCCAATACCCCCAACAAGCACAAGCATCCCTAGAACAATCATCAACCTCCCACAAGTAAGCGTACAAGGTGCTAAAATTACAGAATCATTTTCTTCCCTCAAAACTGAATCCATGTTGTCACGATTGAAAGTTATTAACCCGTGATAGTTCGCAAGCTGATTCTCGTTTGACCTTGTGCGAAAAACCAAAATGTACAAAACATGGTCACATATAACACTCACATCCCCTGGTCTCTACCCTTTCATAGTCCTCCTCATCCCCTGGGTTAACCATGTCTTTTCGTTTGAGTTATAGACATGAATACAAACATCCTATAAAAAGAAATCTTGAGAAGATTGAACTGACCTGATCACAGAGATTGTGTATTTTGAGTTTGACTGGTCAACGAAGAACATCAATGCGGTATACACTGATGGACCGAGGATTAGTGGGTTCTTGAGAGTCTCGTATTCGTGATAAATAGGGTTACAGATGTATATTTCTTTACTGGTTTCAGCATCCATGAAGCAGACAAGTCCACAAGATGGAGCTATATGCCCTAATTGTTAGTTCCGACTGTGGAGACGTGGGATAGTAATGACAGATGAAGGCGAATCCATCTGTACAGCCAATGTCTTTCAGGTATCTTGAATCAAGCCCTAGAGCTTTAGAAATCAACTCGAATAATGAACACTAATTAGGAGGGGTTGATTCACCAGTCTTTTTAAATGCAATAACCCTTTTATATTACCTTAAAAAGGTTTGTGATTGAAGACGGATGTTGATTTCAGTGTTGAAAATTGGAAATTCTGTGTTACTGACCGAAGAGGTGAACTTGCCCTAATGATTATTCCCAAATGGTATAAGGAGGTAGAATGAAGAAGAAGAAGAAGACACAGGTGGTGGAAGGGGTGAATCGGGTCATGGGTTTGGAGGAGAAACGATGGGTCAGGTCAAAAGAGGTGGGGGTTTTCAAAGTCAAAGTCTGTGTGGCAAAGGGGTAACCGACTGACCCCTTCAATTCTTACAAAATGACCAAATCGACCCGACAAAAAACATTTTGTTCCCTTAAAAGGCACGAAAAAAAACTTTAGAGACTAAAAGTGTAACACCCTGTTCTGAAAGCATCCGTTTATGGATTTCAGAGGCCAAGGCTAGGGGCGTTTTGAGTTTTTTATTCGAGAGGTTTTGGGCCGGGGTGTGTCGCTAGAAGCGTAGGGCTTCTCTCCACCTTTTCGTGGATATAAAGTTCGTCGGAAACGGACTTGGAACGAAGGAGTTATGACACTTTGAAGTTATTGGCAGAAATGGCCCCTAATGGAAATAAATGGCAAGGAGGGACCATGCATGCAAGGTGGTAAGCGCGCGAGTACGCCCATCATAAGGCTGGGTTACGCCCAGCGTATAAGGTCATAAGGTCGCAGGTGTTTTTGGCGTACGCCCAATGTACAGGATGTACGCCCAGCGTACGTCCAGAGTCCAGAAACCCTAAAATTTAGGGCATGCCACTATAAAAAGAATGATAAGCCTCAAGGGTCAGCCTCCATTTCACCCTTGAACAGCCACCACGAAACCCTAATCCTCCCTTGAGTGTTCTTGAAGCTTTGGTGGCCATTAGTGAGCATTTTGGTGTTATAAAACCATTTTTCCAAGGAAGGAAGGAGCAAAGCAAGGTGGTAGATCAAAGGAGAAGTTGTAGATCTGGGACTTTTTCCTCTTTCCAGACCCTTTCAAGGTATAAAGTTTTGAGCTTGATGATTGTTCTCTTAGATCTCTATTCGGAGGAATTTATGGACTCTTTTAGTCCAAAGAATGGATCTGTTGATGAAATCTCATGTTTGAGCTTAGGGTTGCCACCCTCAAAGCTAAAAAGGTCCCATAAGCAGTAAAGTCTCCATCTTGAATGTCTTAATGGGTTCATGCATGAGATCTAGTCCTCTTTATGGAAGTGGAATATCATTTTGGGAGTTTGGGCTTGTTTGGGCCATGTAAAGTCACCAAGTCAGTGGCTTTATGGATTAAGACATGGAAAAGGACTTAGATCTGTGTTTGTAGCTTCTGGAGTAGCATATTAAGCACTTAACGGGAAAGTGACTTAACAGCGGGAGTACGATGAGCGTACATACAGGTACGCCCAGCGTACACACCATTTGGCTAGTACGCTTAGCATATATAGGAGTACGCCCCGCGTACTCTGTCAGTTTGGGCTTCGTGTTATTGGGCCTCGGATTGGGCCATGCTTGGGTATTTGGGTTTTAATGGGCCATCAGAAGTCAGATAATATGGGCCAAGGAATATACTTTGGGCTTAGGGTAAGGCCCATTAAGGAATTGGGCCCAATGTAGCAAATTAGGCCATTAGTGGGCTTGGGATGCTCACCTAGTGTTGGGTCTTTTATGTTATGGTTTGGGCCTTGGTTATGGACCGGGATGAACTAGGGGTAAAATGGTCATTTTACCCTAAAGAGAATTATTGAATTGGACTAAGTGATATTTTGGTATTGATAACTCGGGGAGCCGAAGGATCAGCAGTTCGGGAAGTTCCAGTTAGCAACCAGAGGAGTTTTCAGCAGTGTTCAGCAATGCGAGGTGAGTCTCCTCACTGTGTGCATGGGTCTACGGCCACAATGCCGGCCCATTATGTTTATGTATAGTAGGAAGACCCGGGGGTTAGCCCTAGGCATTTTATGATATGTGCCGGGCGAGGCCCGAGGAATGTTAGTATGTTATAGGTAGTTGTGATTCTTGTATGTGTCAGTGTTTATAGGTTCCGAACCAAGGTCCGATGTCGGGCAAGCCCGAGGAAGGTTTATATGATGAATGTGAGATTATACTTGTTGTCTTTGTGATACTTGTATGTGCCTGGTAGGGAGGTGAGTGTGGGCGAGGTCCCGTATCTCATCACTAGCCGAGTATGGACGGGGTTCCATATCTCATTAGTAGCAGATCAAAGGCGAGGCCCGAGTTAGGAGGGAGGTGAGTGTGGGTGGGAGCCCGTATCTCACTATCAGCAGGACTGTGGACGGGGTCCCATGACTCATCAGTAGCAGGACAGGGGCGAGGCCTTAGATCAGGAGTATAGTAGAGTATGTTTAGCTATTTGTTATGTGTTGTGTTATATGTTTGTATGTATTTAGCGGGCGAGGCCCAGAGACAGGCATGGCCTAAAAGAAACAAATCTGTATACCGAGCGGGGCTCGATGCCAGGCGGGGCCTGATGCCGGGGGGGGGGGGGGGGGGGGGGGGGGGGGGGGGGCGATGCCGGCGAGTCTGATGTCGGGCAAGTCCCGATGCAGCGGGCGGAGGCCTAGTATGTGGTTATATGTCTGGTATGTGGTAGTAAGGGGAACTCACTAAGCTTCATGCTTACGGTTTTCAGTTTTGGTTTCAGGTACTTCCGGTAGCGGAGGGAAGAGCTCGGGATGATCGCATGACACACACCAAGAAGTTTTTAGCCTGGGATGTTTACTCTGATGAAATAAATATGTTGAAATGATACTTGATTTCATATAAGGATTTATGTATGACTTGATTATGGTTGATTAATGATTTTAAAACGAAATTTTTGGTCATGATTTTTGGGATGTTACAGAAAGAGTAAATTCAAAATACATAGTAGGGTCGTGACCTCACGAACATGACTTGGAGTTTTTCATTAGGGTTTTTTAAAATCTCAAGAACGATGTGGAGGTCAAACTCGTTTCTCGTTTCAGGTGTTCATAAAGATCTGAAAAATCAAACTTAGGGTTTATCGTTTCAAGTTTTTCAAGATCTGTAACTCGTTTCTAGGGTAATGAAGAACAATATCAAGAAATCAATTTTAGGAACTCAATAAAAGGTTTCGATTCTCAAGAACTGAACATGCATGCATCTAGAAATTCCTTTCTAGAAAGGGTTTCGTTTTCAAAAAAAGATTTCAAAATTTCGCTGGAAAACCCATCGTTGGCATGAGAAGATGACTGGAAACTTCAAAGATGGTCGGATAACTCATATTTCGCCGGAAAAGACATTGAAAACCGGCAAAACCCACTATGACCGATCACATTGGTGTTTTTTTTAACAAATTCAACAAGTTTAATGGTATATTAAGCATAAAACTAAGTTTAGTGATATGAACAAAAGCTACAATTGGTTACCCTTACAAAATTATTATCCCTATATTTAAATCACATATTAGGTAGTAATTATAAGTAATAATAAATTGATGAATAGTGCATATGATTAAGGCTGAAAGTCAAAAGTATAGGGTTACTTGGGATAACCGCTTATATTGCTCTATTTCATACATTGTTTATATCATGGTTGATGTACAAATGTATTTCGAAGTATTTTGGTTTTTTGCATATACCATGTTTTTTTAATAAACTATCATCCAAGCCAAGGCAAGCAAATTGGGACATTTTGTTCACAAATACTTTTGCCTTAGTGGATTTTTGTTCACTTCATCAAATAGTTTGTTATCCATTTATAACATTAACCATAAATATCAAAATCAATATTTATTTTCTCAATGTGATTGAAGTATACATGTCCATACCAACGTGTTAAAGGTTATCCGTGACAAAACACAAGTTTTTTTAATATGAAAAGGTATAAGGTTAATTGAAAACCGCTTATATTACTCTACTTACTGTTGGTACAGATATCATGGTTAATATACAAATTTATTTCCAAGTGTCTTAATCTTTTACAAATACCATTGTTCATTAAAAAAAAATTAAAGGTAAGCTATTTGAACATGTTGCTCACAAAATACTTTTACCTAAATAGCTTTTTGTTATCAAAATGTTCTAGTTTTTGATGATATATGTATTTTTTAAATAATGGCATTTTTTAACATCTCAAATAGTTTGTTATCAAATTGTAACATTAACCATAAATATCAAAATGATTATGATATTTATATTCTCAACACAAAACAAGTATGCATGTCCAGCCCATACCACTGTGTTAAAGGTTCTCCATGACAAACCCGAGTTTTTTTTTTTTCTTTTAAATACGAATGAAATACACATGTCAACATCATGTGAAAAAAAAGCATCGACGACAAAAACACGAAAGGATTCAAAGCCTATGAATTTGCATATATGGTCTATGGAGGTTGTGTTATGCCTCCACTTAACGAGTGATATGAAGAGCTTGGGACTTTGGTTTTGTTTTAACATTCATTATGATACTTTGGTTTGGCCGATTGTTGTTAATAAAGGTAAGTGGAACCTGTCAAATAACTTTTAAGGATTTGAAATCCGAAAGAATTAAACATCTGATTAGCAGTAAATGAAATGGAAATAATAAGCATACCAAGGGTAATAAAAGTAACTAAAAAAAAAAGCCAAACACTGAAGTCCATTAGTTTAAGAGAGGGCTATGGTTGATAAGATTTTAGGCAATTAAATTCCGTACTCATTTGCAAACTAAAACAAGATTGGAATGGCAGTGAATGTAAAAATAAAACAAGCAAATTAGTTATTAGTCTCTACATAGATAGATACAGAAGGCATAAAAAAATTTAAGAATAGCAAGGCAAATGAAATAAATATGGATTTGAAATGAAAGCAAGGGAGGGAGGCAACAACTAAATATATATAATACACATAGGAGAAAGGCTCAACTCAGCGCAAGGAAAAAAAAATCTCTTGGGTGACAAACCTGCAAAGGAATTTCCGTTGATACAGGTCGTTTTGTATATGAGGGTGGGGTGGGCATTTTATGATAGAAAAGTAAACCAACAAGTCTGTCTGTCTGTTTTTTTTTTTTTTTATCCCAAACTAATTTGTAAAAAAGTAAACAAAGGGAGGACTGCTATACACTTGATAGTTGCTGATTCATACACTCGTGTCGTGTGTTGTCTACATGAAGTAACTGAGAAGCTTTTTCTTCCTGGATCCACCTTCGCCGTATAGCTCATTCCATTGCAGAAGCTCGTTCATATTTGCTGACTCAGACGACACACTCGCACATACCTGATACATAATATACACCATTCTTTTCACTTTTACTAAATAAATAAATAAATAAATAAATAAATAAGAGTTTGATACATTACCTGGTCATGTGCATACTTAAAATCATCCAAATTTAGTGAGCGAACGTCCGCACTGCTCCGTAAAGCAGGTACCGGCTTATTTTCTGCCAATGCCAAAGCTTTCTCCTGCATAATAACAATGCACCAAATATTAATATTAATAATAAAAAGTTGTAAATATAGAAAACAAACCTTCTTTTCCTTCTCTAATATCTCTCTAATTGGACAGTGGGCAGCTGTCACGCAAAGATTCTGAAAAAAAAAAAAAAAAAAAAAAAGAGTGTATATATGAAAAGGTAAAAAATTAAAAAAATAATAATAAGTGTAGCATGGAAGTGGAAGAAAGACCTTCAAATCACTTCCTGAGTAGCCATCTGTCATATTAGCGACTGCTTGAAGATCCATATCAGGTGCCAGCTCCTCTTTTGCCAATATGACTCTTAAAATTTTCTCCCTGTTTGTGGCATCTGGTAGATTTACCATCAACCTGAAAATGAAAATGCAAATGCATTAATTTGGTATATATGTTGATAAAAATATACTAGTATAATTGATTTGATTTGTTATATTAAATAAACCTGCGAGGAAGTCTCCTGATGACAGCTTCATCGAGGTCAAAAGGCCTATTGGTTGCACCGAGTACAAGCACCCGTTCTCTATCTTTTGTACGAAGGCCATCCCAATTCACCATAAACTCGTTTTTCATTTTACGCATTGCTTCATGCTCTCCTGGGTTTTCACGTCTTCCCAGCATGCTGTCCACCTATCATTACCAATCATTTACCAATCATACCCCTCATAAACCTTCAAATATCATATCATGTGACCTACGCCTACCTCATCAACAAAAACAACACTGGGTGCGATTTTACTAGCAAGGCTGAAAACTGCTTTCACATACTTCTCTCCTTCGCCAAACCACTACAAACACACACACATCATCATCAGTTATCTGTTATCTACCAAAAAACAATATTTTTTTATCTTTTAAATAATTAATAATACCTTGGAAGTTATGCTTGACATGGATATGTTGATGAAATTTGCACCAGCCTCGGTTGCAATAGCTTTTGCAAGCATTGTTTTACCAGTACCCGGGGGTCCAAACAGCAAGATTCCTTTTACAAGGCTACACAAAACATAATCATAATCATAAACACAACAGATTATTATTTTATTATTATATTAATAAATATAATATAACAACTTCAACTTTACCTTTGTTAGCTGCCCTTTGCAGAACAATTCAGGCCTCTGAAGAGGTAGCATCACCAACTCTTTCAAGGTATCCTTCACAGATTCAAGAGCTCCAATGTCGTCAAAGCTAACACCAATATCACCAGGAGGAATAACTTCACCTAGCAGTCTCTTCTCAAATTCATTTTCAGTAACCACATCCTGGAATTGGAATAATATGTATAAATTGTTTATTCAATTTAAAAAACTTCAATTATTACATGCATGTATAACTGTAATTAACCATAACCTACCTTCAGTGTCTTTTTAGAACTTTTGCTCTCGTTTTGAGTTCCTTGCAGTATGTTGATCCCATACTCGAGACTGCAAACCACAACATAATACATGAAAAATGTATAAATTATAAACATATAACACAAAATAAGCATGCATGCATGCTAGTTAGTACCTTTCATTGGAAATCACAGGTTTAGCCTCTTTAGCAGAAGCTTCACAACTCTGCATAAAGTGATGACTCAAAGCCCATCCAATAACTTTTTCTCCACACCTATATAGAGAGTGAAAATTAATCAAAAAGCCAAATGGTAAGAATCAGAGATGTACTACTCTTACTCTACTCACTTTCGTTAGTCAAGGTTTGATCTTTTACACATAGTTCATCAAGGTTGGAGCACTCGAGACCGACTCGACTCAGAACCTAAACATCATGACATCAGAAATAATATAATTAGTAGAATAAAAAAAAATGTGAATTTTTTTTTTGAATACTTACGGCACGGATGCTGACAATGTTAGACTGTGATTTTAAGGTCTCTATGTCACGATCCAGTTGTTGCTTCCAGTCTGAAAGCAGCACTTCATCCTACCATCATCATTATCACAAGGTTAACTGAGGTCCACCAACTGACCATTTATGAAAAAAATCAAATCAAATCAAATCAAATAAATAATTACCTGAGGCATCTGTATGGCGACTTTGTTTTGGGAAAAGTCGGGTGAGCTGCTTCATTGTTTTGGGAGTTTCCTTGCTTCTATCATGAAGTCTACTAAAACTATCCTGAATGATGATATTTAGGAAATATTTTTATTACATTGAAATATATATACATGTGATGTGATTAATTTATCAGAATTCAGAGCATCTTATAGCAGTAGTAGTACCGGGAAAGCCAAGTCAAGCAATGTGGTCTGATTGCTCCCAAACTTTGTGAAGAGTAATCCACCAGGATGTGACTGCAAAATTAAAATGTTATTATCAATTGAATTATGAATATGATGGAATGGAATGGAAGAAAATCTAAAGGAAGACTTACTTTCTCCTTGCGGCTGTCGATTTGAGTATGTGAAGCAATGACAACCACATTGGCAGGTGCATTTTCAAGCTTGCTCTTGAAGGAAGCATACGCCTCTGGATTTCCCAGCATTGATTTCTCTATATCTTTCACAAACAAAAGCAACGAACTGCTTTTACTTTCTTTAACAGCAACCTGCATACACAACACAACAAATACACTTTTCAACTTGCTCAATCATCAACCATGTCCATGTCAGTGGCTACAAATTAACCTTCACAGCTTCTTATGCAGTTTTAGCTTAGCTGTGCCCCTCAAGGCCAGATGTTTGCTCTATACAGCATAATAGATATGTTTCTTTTTCACCTACTTCTCAAATCGTAGGCTCTATCGTGTAATTTTCTAATAAGAATCCAGTCATGTTCTTATCACTATTTTATTGTAAGTTTGTCCTCATATCCTAATTCCTAAAGAAGCCCACCAATACCTAATGTCCACATGACCAGGAATTTCATTAGGTTCTAACATCCTTGGAGAATTACATATAATATAACTTTGTTGCCCTTATAAGGCACAATTCTAGCTATGTACTACTCCCTAGTGCTTCTTTTTGGTTATAACATCATACATGGTTTTGGGTACACAACTCAAAAAAAAAGACAGCATACTTGCTTTAGGTTTTGATTGAATAACAACTTATTAAAAGTTCGGCTTAGAACAATGCAAGAGTGTCTCTGTCTCCCCTCTCTTTGAAACATGCACTATGGTTGGCTCTAACTTAAAGGACAAGTGAACTCAGACCCCCATCCAACCACGAAAATTGTTGAGCCTAAACCAAGTTTCTATGCTCAAGTCTTTTACAGATATGACGACCAATTCCTTTCAACATCTCCATTCACCCCCAAGCTAGTGTTGTTGTTGAAATTGAAGTGCAAGGCAAGCATAAATTTTATAAAAGATGAATGAATGTTGAAGTCCCATACTTCATACAACTTCAGTTTCATGCTAGATTGAAAAAATAATCAAAGAAAGTAATATGATGATTTCAAATATGTAAACTACTGTATTATTGAAAGAATCACCTCAAAAAGTTCATTAATGGCAAGCTTCTCAATGTCATCGGCACTCGAAGAATCAAGGCGAAGCGAATCAGCTATGCATATATAATCCAACAAAGGAATAAGAATATCAATTTAGTTTTCACTAATAATGAACAATAACCAAATATTAAACTACAATATCCAATACCAGAACAAAAAAAGCCATGATCTTCCTCACAAATTCCTCCAAGATCGTTCCCTTCTTGAACTGACCTATCAAATCTGACTCCAATCTTGGAAGACCCATTCTCCTCAAATGGAAGTAGAACTTTGCCCTTATAACCATAAGTCGGCCCCCTGGGGGAAAAAAAAAAAGTAAATATCTTTGGAGATCAGAGATTACAAAACATCAAGAATTTCAACTGAAGCTAAAATAAAATACCTCAAGGGAGTCTGCAAAGGAGAAAAACCAGATGACAAGGAACCCACATATTTAACTCTGTCGCCTTTCTTGAAGGTGTAGCTTTTTGATGATGCAGTAGATGCTTCCTGTTTTGGCTGAGCATGAGAGCCTGTGGTAGATCCACCAACTATATCAGCCTCAACACTTGATGTCGGTTTCTTCGAGTGCATAGCCCCCGCTTGTGGGGCCCGTTTAGCAAACACACTTGCTCTTTCAGGCCTAGTACTCTCCTTTAGTGAGGTGTCTGTTTCCTTAGCAACTGATCCCTGTTACCAAAAAATTTATCAATATATATATATATATATATATATATATATATATATATATAGTCAGTCATTAAAAAGGAATTGTGATTGTGAATTGGAAGATAGAAGACTTACACCAGGTAATAAAAGAGAATCAACTACAAGCAGTCTAGCATCTAGATGTTTAGCAAGAGCCTTTGCCAATGTTTCTTGATATATCTCTGAACCTGTGTTGTGTTGTGAGGTGCAATATAAAGTTAAATAGAATTCAAACAAGAAAGACTTTTCTGTCCTTTCGATGTAAACCAATTGAACACAGTACCTGCTGGACCAGATAAGAGTATTCTAGGGCACAAAGTAGGCAGATCTGAGGCATACTTCACAAAATCATTACGTTTCAGATGGAGATATGTGGAGGCAATCAATACACTTTTTGTTGTTTCACTGCATGTTTCAAAAGAAATAGTAATGTAACCAAAAAAGTAGGGTACCCTTAAAAAAGCTAAAACAACTATTGTTATTTTGCTGAGAAAGCCAACAAGCATCAATGTTCTTATTATTACCATCATCTTTTTTTGTTTGGTCATTTATTCTCACAAAAGAAAAACTATTTAAACAGCTCAATATGTTTGATAGCAATTAACTAAACTATATTTTTATTACTCTAATAAATTATGTTAGCTGCAATTTCCAGCCTTTGAATCAACACAACCTAAGCCAAAAGATGGCTATAAATTTGAGCCAGGTTCTTATTCAAAAACACCCTTGGATTGCAGCCTCATACAGTCATATGCAACAGAAAGCCTTTCAACCAGTGATGCAAATGAGGAAACTAAGTTAGTACAATGACTACTTTATCAGTTTTTCCTGATACTAACATTTAAAGCAGAAAGAGTTTGGCCTTGTTCATTTAGTTCTCTAAAAGGAGTACAAATCAAATTATAATAACAGGTTTTGGTAAGCTTCAAAAAGAACTAACAAAAAATTGAAGAAAAGCACATAGAATCACATATGTGATCCACTTTAATTGTGTCACGCTACATGGAAGACCTACACCACTTTGAATGTCAAGCAAGCTAGAAAAAAAACTAAATCCTGAAATCTCCAATTACATGATGATTAATATATTCACAACACAGATCATCAGCCAGAAAAGGATAGCCAAATACAGACAGAAGAAAAGTGGAAACCATGCATCATATATGAGCATCATAACCTACTCGGGGATACAAATCAGAGCAAGTTTAATCCTTAACCCCTATGCTAAAAACATTAATCTGTGAAGGCATCCTAAACTAAATTACAGTTGAAATATTGCCACAAAAAGGTTCCACCATGTTTGTGTTACGTTAAGAAAAAAAAATTCATACTATGTAAGAGGGTGTTTCTTTTTTTACTTAATGAGCTTTATGGTTTAAGTACTAAATCTGGGCAGCTATACATCGATGTTTCTTTTTTACTTGATCTGAACAGAATGACTTCAAGGGGTTTACAAAAAAACCAGGCTTGATATGTTACGACACTATCCCTTTACCTATTTGCCCTTCTTATATCTTCCACACAAGTTCCACGTTAAAGTTGATGAATATTGTTAAAACTGATGTATATTGTGAAATATGTTTTTTAGAATGTAAGGGTAAAATGATCATTTAGCTTCATTCAGACGGTTTATTCGGTATTTCAGTCTAGAAAAACTAAAACAGACCTTATGTATACAGCCACGACTTGATAAGAAAAAAGAAGCAGCCCTTAAGTGTCAAGCACCCTAACCTGGTATGGCTCATAGACATCATCTATTTTGTACAATCAGTTCTATTGATAGTAATCATCACATGCAATTCTCATCATCCACATGCCTATAGGCCTAGATTATTGTTGCTTCTAAAAGAATGGATATATCCATCAATTCTCTAAATTCACAACAAAGGTAACTTGTACTACAATAGAGGTCTTAAGCTTTTCTCACAAGTTTTTAGCCAGTTAAAGATCATGTAAAAAGAACATAAAAAGTAAGGCAGTGGTTGCACCTTAAGTAATATGGGAAATCTTTAAATGTAACTTCAATTGCATTGGGGCTGAGAATCCCTTGTTGTAAGCTATCTTTATATGCTTGACGCCTTGCTGCTAAGGAGATGGGTGGATCAATTTCCTTAAGCAGTTCTCTAATTTCTTTCCTCTCATCAATAATTTTCAAAATATCCAACTCAGAAGCAGTGGATCCTGCAAGCATTCTCAGTAATGGCCTTAATTCATGAGTGGCTGCAGGGCCAGGGGCATTCCCTGTGTCCCCAACACCAACAATGTTCTCATTAGCACCTTTCTCACTCGATGGTGCCACATCAGCAGCATCTTTCATTTCTGTATCAGTTGCACGATTATCACAGACAGAGGGTAGATTTGGCATTCCAGTTTGTAAGCCTTTGCCTTTACGAGAAGGAGGGGGGAGAAGAGATAACTCTTTCTGAATACTAGACAAAGATGCTAATATTGAAGCTCCTGCAACTGCTGATGGGTCTCTAGATCTTGCCCCAAACTGTAACCCTTTTAATGACCCGCTATGTGCTTCTAATATGCTCATGGGAGGTGCCACATCTGCACCAACATTATCATTTGATAGCTGCTGAAATATATAAGCATGCCTTCCAGAAGAGCTAAAAATCACTTCATCTCCAGCTTTAAGTGGTAAGGTTGACCTTTTAGTGCATGTCTTGCCATTGACCTTCACAACACCTTTGCCACCAGTGATTTCAAGTAAAGTGATTGATGCGCCTCCTTGCTGCGACTCTATGTGCCTCAGGCTACACAATGATTTACTGATGTTAGGATCACCGATCCACAGGTCACATTGGCGACCTTGACCAACAGTGAAAATGGGACGATCCATGACAACATGAGGGTTCTAGACATCAGAAAAGAAACACATTAGGCTCTTATCATTGCATGAAAATAACAGTTGAAAGACCTACCTGTGAGCACTGGGAAAGAAGCTTTCCCCACGCAACCCCAACATTAGATTTTGACTGTCTTTTCTTGGTACGATTCAACACGGTTGAACCACCATTCGCCTTCGTCTTCTCTACATCTATTAACGAATCACCTACAAATCAATCCGAAAGAAAGAAAGATCAAGAGCTGTAGAAAGGTATCCCAGTCCCCGCAACAAGTTTTTACAAATTCATGTAACCTCAATCCCACCTAGAGACATAGGCGAGACTAACGGCTGTCCTTCCACTTGAACAACCGGAGATTTTTCAGGAACGTCAACACCGGGCACTTCGTCACATGCATCGGAGTCTTTCTTGGACGGATCAGAAGATCGGACCTCCTGTTCTTGAGACTCGCATCCACCGGATTCCTTCACCACCGCCTCAATGGGCTCCACCGGCGTCCCGGTAGTAGACGAAGATGCTGCCTCCGCTGCCTGCAACCACCGATCGCCAAAAATGAAATTTTCGATATAAAATTCAACACAAAGTCTTTTACAAACCCCCAATTAACGATACCTTTGATCTTTTCCCGGTTGGGATAGGAGACGAACATGGGGATGATAGCGTGCGTTTCGAGGAAGACGAACTCCGCCTTGTTTCCACCATGGTTAATTTGTCTCCGTCGATTCGGAATTCGATTGCAGAGGATTACAAAGAAGAAAAAAGGGGAAATCTGTAGACAAAACTGACTTTCCTATATATATGAAGATGAATGACGATTAAAATGGAAAAAAGATTATAATATTGATTTGGGAATAGGGATAAAGATAGAGAGCTGGGCAACCAAAAGGGCTGCAAGTATGATTATATATGAATTTTACGGAGAGGGTTGTTAAGCGGCAGGAAGTGAAAAGGGGCAAGTTTGGGGTTGAATGTGTAGTGGGTGGGTAAAGAATATGGTCTATTTATCAATTAAGGGTCTTCAACTCATAGATATTTTGTTAAATACAATCAATATCTAAATACTTACATATTTAATGTTAATACACAAATGAAAACAATATCGGCTTTGACAAGCAATTTATCAATTTGTCTATTCGATGATCATAATTGTATTTGTGTATCGTAATAGAGTTGTCGGTATCAGTTTTTATATATTAGATTCGTTTCAGCAATATTTAATAATGTAATTTCTAATGTTTATTTAACTCGTTTATGTGTTACATGTGAAGTCTTTTCCCAATAAGTATCTATGGTTCTTGAGTTGTTTAACGCGAGATGTCTTTCTACATCATGGGCATAAAATGTCGTTGAGAACATAGATATCATAAAACAAATGATCTATATGCTTATTTGATCAATTCATGGGTAAGGAACAAGGTAACTTTGTGTCCATGATGTCATCAGTTAAGTAAGTACATTTATAAATGGTGTACTCGTAGCAATGAAACGATGACATGGACATTAAAGTCATGTCGCCTTGTTGTGAAAACAATTACATGAATGTTATAAAAGGTCTCATATTTGTAATTAGTCGCAGGACTTGAGTAGGTAGGTCATATAGATAGGTTATATATGCAAAAACAAGTTTGTTTCATAAAAAAGCAAATGTGTCGCTCCAAGTTAAACTACGTTTTAGGGCTAACCATCTCAATCGGATCCACCTATCGATCGCATGTGAAAAAAATTGAATGAAACTTTCGATTTAGTATTATTTACAACTATATAACAAGATGTTGATTTAGTGTTATTATTAACTATTGTTATGGTTACTTAATTTAAAAAAGAAAATCTCCAAAAAAATCTCATTATTTTGGAAAAAATTAACGATGAAGTCTAAAAATTATTTTTTTGAATAGAAAAGCCCAAGAAACCCACAAATTTATTCACTTTAGCCATTTTGACATGTTCAGGGGGTCATGAGACCAAATCGTTAATTTTTCTAAAATAATGAGACTTTTCTATAGATTTCATTAAATTTTTTATAAAATGTATAAACATAATTTTATGTATATATATATATATATATATATATATATAAGTAATTTTACGTAGTTTTATATATTTTTTACGTATTTATGTATTTTTTAAGTTTTTTATATAGTTTTTTTATTTATTTAAAATGTATAAACGCATTTTTTTACGTATTTATATGTGTTTTTAAGTATTTTTACGTACTTTTATGTATTTTGGTATCTTTAACATGAATTTATATATTTTCTTTAAGTATTTTTTACATATTTATATGTATTTTTTATGTAACACCTAATTTCAGAATGTTTCTAATTCTGGGATAACGGACCATAATTTGATTGAGTGGAGATCTCGAGCTTCAAGGGAATAAAGTTTAGACCTTATTTGACGATAAATATTGTGGGTCAAGTGATTTAAGTCTTAAATTGTGGTTTTTGTGGTGGCCACGACGTGGTGAATGATGCACCACGACGTGGTCATAACCAGAGGAAACGCACATCATTCACGCGAACCACGACGTGGCAAGAGTCTGGCCACGACGTGGTGGCCACTAGAGTGCAAAACCCTAATTTTACGGTTTGGGGCCTTATTTAAGGGTGTGATGGCTCGGTTTGTGTGAAATCTTCAAATTTACGGTCATTTTAAAACTTTTTATTTACGCTTATTTAAATCATAGTTCATTTATATGTGAGGAATTGATCTCGTAAAAGTATTTCCGAATAAATGCTTTTTCATTGATTATAAAAATCTTGGGATGTAATAACTGATACAAAATATAAACATAAACGGGCCTTACATCAATATTCTAGCAGCTTACGAACTCCTTTAATCTCTCGGCAGATAATTATACTATCTATCAGTATCTTCGTATCGTTACCTGTTATACAAGAAACTGAGTGGGTCAGGTTGGGAAACCTGGTGAATACATAGGGTTTTCAACCCACAATATTATAATATTTAATTATATATTCTTCAGCATTCAAATAACCCAATCACCCCACTCCCAAATTTCTCACTTACTAATCCTAATATGATGATCTCGAGGGATATTCTTAAGGATCTTTATTAACAGACAATTATAATTTCTAGATGATTAGACACGGAAGTATGATAATACTTTAGGTAAACACGACAACACGGCGGTACATTAGTACTTTGGGTTATCACGGCAGGCACGAGAGTACAATGGTACTTTGGTTTAGCACGACAGTACAAAAGTACTTTGGATAAGCACAGCAGTACAAAGTTAATTGGGATAGACACGGCAGACACGACTTATTATTTTGTACAACTCTCACTAATCCTTATCACTGCTACTACCCTAAACAACCCTAACACAACCTCTCTTTTATTATTCCACACAACCCTTTACTACCCAACTAATATTATTAAGCATGATAATATATATATATATATATATATATATATATATATATATATATATATATATATATATATATAATGTTTAATCAAGTAATAAGCATATCAAGTTGCACGTATATATTAAGCATAGCACGACGGCGCACATAGCAGCTAAGCATTTAGAATACTTGTATATGTGTGTAAGTTTGAAAGTAATTATGTACTCACCTGATAACAGTGGATGACTCGATGTTAGGGCAGCGCTTCGCATCAACACTTTTCCAAAAGATCTAGATGTACATAATGCCAAGTCTTAGTATAGTTTCATGATCTTGACAACTATAATAATAATAGTCTAGATATTGCAATAATCTCAATGTCTACTGATTTATATCTGATAAGGGATAACCACGTAGGATCATATCGAAGGTAGGGTCTGTTTGGTATACAATGTATATTGTTTAGAAATCTCACTTTAAACACCTCACTTAATCCAGCCTATACATCATCCCCATAAGTAGATCAATCAATAATATAACATTGGAATCACCAACAAATCTTATTCATAAATGTATAACAACGACTATGAAATTAAATATAAATTACACTAAAATAAAGTTAGGGCGTATTTTAACTTACAGAGATTCCCTAGACAAAAGTCCGGAAATTGCACTGGCAGAGCTTTTACTCGAAAGCTACTACTTGTCGGGCACTCAGGGGTCACAGAGCTTCGCTGGTATACTAGAACTAAGGGAGAATAGGGCTAAGGCAGAGAAAAATTTGAGAGAATGACTTGTAGGGGTGTGAGGAATGATTAGTATACAGAGTGGTATTTATAGGGACGAAAAAACATAATGTGAGTTGCGCCCATACCAGATGCACGCCACGCACTGGCCTAGTCAGCCCCCTCTGCAGTTGACACATGTTCGATTTTGGTTGGTGCTACGTCGCCCCCTTCTAGAAGGTATGCACGTCCCGCACTGTGCGCGAGCCGTTTTTCAGATTTTCAAAATCTTGCAACTTCTTCATACGGACTCCGTTTTTTATGTTCTTTATATCCACGCGTAGCTATCGACGAGATCTAGAACTTTCATTTAGACTCCGTCTGCTAGTTTTGACTTTATTTATTTTACACAAACTTAGACTGTTAGAGCCCGTATAAAATGCATAACTTTCTCATCCGGTGTCTGTTTTCGACTATGTTTATATCTTTGAACTCCTATTAATGAGACCTTCAGCTCTCGTTTAGAGTGTTTTAGCTAAAAATCGACCGATCTAAAATTCGATTTCTGACTTGTATACTGTTACGCTGAATTTTAGATCACTTAGGTTAAAAAGTAATTTATCGAAAGTTTAGACGTTATCTATAACCACGCTCTCGGTTTGATGATTGTTATGACTTTCGTTTAGATCACTTAGGTTAAAAAGTAATCTATCGAAAGTTTACTTTTTACGATACGCAGAGTCATGTCAGTTTAATTGTGAAACTTCGAAGAAGCATAACTTCTTCATACGAAGTCAGATTTCAGCGTTCTTTATATGTGTGGAATCCTTGTCACACATACGATAACTTAGTGAATATTATTCATCCTAAATAATCTCCTATTTAAAAGTTATTATTATAGCGTATAAAGTTATATTTGTTTTTTATTCATTTATGCATGAAAATCTTATGAATCATACCATTAATTTGTCACCGAAAAAAACTTCATTATCATATTTATATTATAAAGACCATTAATTTGTATTAAAAAACTCAAATCGAATATTCATCAATAAATATAACAAAATTGTGGAACAAAAATAGGTTTTGTTGATATATGAAAAAAATCAAGTGATTTAGTTATAACATGATTTAAATTTTAATTCACAATAATAAAATAAAAAATGGAAAATTCTTATATTTTATAAGAGAATTTATTCAATTTAATTGTTTTATATTAATAAAAAATATTTTTTTTTGAAAACTATCATTTAATTAAGTATTCAATTAAGTTGAATATCTCGTTAATGTAATTGTAAAATTCTTATATTGTTCTTTAAAAAATGATTGGTCTACGATCATTCGTTCTTAACCTTTTTACATTCTCAATATAATCTCTCCCTATATCGGTGTGGTTCGTTTTTTGTTCGGGTTACGGTTCAATTGTTCTATACGGCGGAGTTTGGTTTTTTACGGTTTTTGCAAAACTAAAAACCGTACAACACCGCACAAAAAAATTTCGGTTTTTACAAAACTAAAATCCACACGGTTAGTTTTCATTTCGATTTTAATTTATATGGGTTTGTAGGTTTTCATTAATTATTGTTCGGTTTTTGCTCAGGTACTACAAAAAGAAATGTTTTGAGGGTTTAAGGAAAGAACATCGTCTTTCTTGAAACAATCACGTTCCCTCAAGACGACGGTGTTTTCATTCCTCCATGTACCCCCAAGTTTTTTATTTTCATTCCATTCCCTCCCAATAACGTATCTTCCGATATTACTCTCCATCACCCTCTCAAATCGGAAGCGTACGCACGATCTTACTAAAAATCAGCATCATATCTTCCAGGAAGAAAAGATATCGATTTTGC